AATATAAGCTCTGGCGGACTTGGTTCTATAGTAGGTCTTAAAGGGTTAAATAAATATCGTCAAATAATCGAGATCTCAATTTCAGTGAAAATAATCGTGATTCTCATTTTTGCCATAATCGAGCAGCCCTACGCTCAGGGTTATTAAATAAACTGCTATACTATATGAACTGATGACATCGTTATCCCACAGAGTTTGATGCATTGGTTAGACTGGGGATTCCCGACCCATCCAGCTACATAAAGAAGCGCTTCAAGTCTAATAAGCTGCTGTTCCTCAGAGCGGCCTGTGTGGGCCAAGCTCTGGTCGACCAGGTGGAGGCCTCTGTGGAGGAAGCTGTCAATTCCGCCACTTGGACTGACCTCCAGGTCAGCTCTTTAACCTTTAAATTGATGATATTAGAGGAGTTGCATCGTTTTTGTTTGTTTTTTTTTGTTTTTAGATTTCTGTTTCTTATCCTCTTCTGTCTGGGCTGCTTTAGCCAGTTCTGCCCAGCTGCCTGTCGACTGAGGACATTGGGATACTGATTAACCAAGCTATGAGAAACACTAACATCCAATCGTCTGCCAGAATCTTGGGGGGCACCGTGGTTGTCAGTGAGAAGTTCATCAGCAACTGCCTCTCTTTATTTGATGAGGCCATGCAGCAGAAAGCTCAGAAGGTAGAGATTCCTTTGACACCCGGTTTTACATGTATATGTATATGCTCTGTCCAAAGGGTGAACTAGATTTTGTGTGCTTTTCAGGAAGTTAAGAGCAATCCAGTGTTTTTGATAACTGAAGAGGATCTGAAGCAAGCATCTATCCTGACTGAGAGCACCGCACCTTCTAAGAAGGAGAAGAGAGAAGCGGAGCGCAGGAAGAAGGCAGCAGGTTTGTGGAACCTATCTCACAAACTCCCACTGTTTTTGTTTTATTATTTTTATTCATATAGTTTTTAGTCCCTTTGGCATTTTGTGAGGGAGACTGACAATGGTGAGAAATCCCAGGATTTTATTTTGGTTCTTAGTGTCCAACATGTGTCCTCAAAGCTCTCTAAGGTAATGATGTATGAGTGAGTCTAATGAGTGATGTCTTACATGAAATCATTTTTTCTGTTTTAATTTGCAGAAAAATGTTTCAGTTTCTGTTTGCAAAAAGCTGAAAGTGGGTAAAAGAAAATGAATGAGAGGAATATCTGTTCATTTCTTTTGATCAAGTAAAGACTTTTTTCACTTTGCCTTTGCAACAATTAGAATGGCCCAAAGCTCAGGGACATGGGTCTTAGGCCATTTTTATGGTTGCCGTGTCACCTATCGTTTAGGACAATACTGTCAGTGGCTTCTTGTGTAATGACAGCGCAGCAAAGAGTAAAGCGACTCCTTTATTTATGTAAAGCAGTCAGAGCTGCTTCCAGAAACCAGAACGATGAGACCAGAGGGATTCAATAAGGTGCCCGTAGTGATAAATCTACAAGAAAACTCACCAATATTTCTTTTTTCATTTTTATTTTTTTTACAAACTTGGACTTAAACAATCATCAAATATCATCAGATTATTTTTTGGAGTGGACCCAGAACTGATTGAGATGCTTTGCAATGACCTTAAACGGCCGCTCATGCTCAAAACCCCTTCAGTGGAACTGAATTGAAATAATTCTGCAAAGAAGAGTGGGCCAAATTTCCTCCACAGCGATGCGAGAGACTCATTACCAGTTATTACAAACACTCGATTGCAGATCTTGCTGCCAAGGATGGTACAACCAGTTATTAGTCTAAGGCAGCAGTTTTTCACACAGGGACAAGCAGGTGTGGATAGCTTCTTAATGAATGACGTCATCAGTAAAAACTTGTATTTTCCGTTTACGCAGGTTTTGTCTAATGTTAATCTTTGTTCATCTGAAATTCTGAAATTCTATAATATAGATAATTTTAGATAAATTTATAGATAAAATAAAATAAGTATATGTTTTTTGTTTTGTTTTTTTTACTTGAAAGATTTGCCTCACAGTTAACCGTCATTCTTATAGAGATTCTCCTGATGTTTGCTTTTGTATTGCAGTTGTCTCTCTTAGAACATCCTCACCAATAAAACATGTCCCAGTGAAATGGGGGTGTGGCAGATTGCAGACTGTAGGTAGCGAGCAGGATCATTTCTGCATGCATATTAATGAATGAGGCCCAATGTGTGTGTTTTGTTGTCCAACACAGCTTTATGCAAATGTTGCTTGTGCTATTTTTACACCAGCTCTGTAACGTTTGGAGTAGACGGCATCGCCACCTGCCAACATCTACCCTACAATGACCCGTAGGACAAAGACAGGAAAAATAATAGACTGGTTATCTTAAAGTGATACTAGAGCAGTGAAAATAAAGACCTCTGCAATGTGGCAAGTCAGTGTTTGCTGACTTTAAGAAGTTGAGTTTTCTCAGACTGACTGGGATCTGTTAACTGTTTGTCTTCCAGAGGGCAGTGGCAGTGTGAAAGCAGGTGGAGGAGGCAATGCCAGAGAGATCCGGATTCGTAAAACCAAGAAGAAAGGGCGGAAAGATGAAGACAGCGATGAGGAAACTGGACCTTCTCAACAAAGTATGTCAGCCGTCACAAAGACATTTTATGTTCTCAGGGAAATATGGTCTCCATCTGCACATTAAGCCTGCTCACTGAGGCTTTTTACTGTAATAAGAGCTTAATGGCTGCTTTACGAGGAATCTCCTGGGTCATTAAGCTTCTTTTTTTTTTTTTTTCTACATGGAAGACAAAGGTAACTGTAGGATTCCAGGGAGACTAATTAGCTTGTGTTTTACCTTTGCCAAGATCGCAGCAGACAGACTGAAACCCCCTTTATGGCCCAGGAGGCGATCGTAGCCGTTTTAGAGGAACGAGTGAGTGACTGCCCTGAAGAAATCCTGTCTGAGTTGGCAGAGCAGTTAGTCAGGTAACAGACACATCTCTTTCTGAAGTTCCCTTTTCTCAGAGCTGCCAACAATCCCTTCATTCACCTTCTGTTAATGTCCCTGCAGGCCTCTGACTAAAGCCTACCAGGAGGTGCTGCGGACAGTGTTCATGTCCTCCACCAGCTCTCCATCAGGGGCCAACAAGAAGAAGAGCATGAAGGATCTGCAGGAAGAGATCACCAACCTGTACAACAATATCCGACTATTTGAAAAAGGCACCAAGTTCTTCTCAGGTAAGTCATGTTCCATGTATTGGAAATCAGAAGCAGGACCATCTTCATCTCTCGCATCCTGACAGGAGACGAGAGAGGAGGCGGGGTTCACAAGGTCCAGATTTTACCCTTACTGTTTGGCAGATCACTGTATTTGTAATAGATCTGTTACACTGGATTAACTGATCATGTCAGGGTTCATGTTCTGATATTTGTTCTTCTGTATGAATCAAATGTTTACCCGTGAAAGACAAGTCATACTCGGGAAAGCTAGCATCCTTTGCTTTATTTTCGTATATATGTCGAGGGAAACGAGCATTAGGCTTCAGAGCGTACCCAATGCTCAGAGACAGTTTTTGTACTCCTGGCTCTGTGATGCCAAAGAAAGTGATGATGTGAAAGTCTCAGGAGCACAGCTCTGACTGTGAGCACAGAAGCTCCACCCACCTGGAGGGCAGTCATTCAGAAGAAGGAGCTCGTTGCTGCATCAACAGCTAAGCTGTCAAAAAGCTTTTAAGAGAAAAATTGTAATGGCTAAGTTACAACACAAACAATATCTTCTAGTTTCTCAAAGTCAGTTTATATAGTGTGTGGCTAAAAGCACCAGCCCTAAACCTACAACAGACCACAAATGGGCTAGTGGATGTTAAAGGTTAGAAGAGAGTGAAGTCAAAAGCGGCACCGAGGCCCAATGTAAGATACATAAGGATTATTTTGAAAAAAATATCTGGCATTGTAGTATTAAACCCTGTAACTAATACCAGATATTACCTCCTCTTTGAACATCACATACATTGGGTTGAATTTCCACTTTTGGATTAAACAGTGACAAATGAGCAAATGTTGTTTTTTAGTAAAGCTCTGATAAAAACCTCATAGTGAGACACAATATTGTGATATTAACAGATGAAAAACAAGAACAAACATCCAAAACTAAGTGGCAGCCACAACATCGGGGTAATTTAATTAGAATGTGAAAACGTGATGACACACTCATCTGTTACTTCAAAATAGAGCCAATACATTTAAGTATGTAAGGGAACTTCAATCCAAAACTGTCCAAATCTCCAGGATTTCTAGAGGAACATAAAAGAAATATAACAGGTTTTGTGTATTGACCTTGCTTTACACCCAGCAAGAGTAGTGAGTTATTTATTGAGAATTGTGCACTTAAATGCAAAGAAAATAGAAGCAGCTGAACAACTGCTAAAGTTGGAGCTCTCCGACATAATTCACTGGAGAGATTAGGCTATAAAACGTGTGTATCATGGTGAAAATGACTGTAAAAATGGTGAGGGCTGAGTAGAATCATCCAAAATTTCAAAGGCTTTACATGCAATATTTGTATGTTTGTTTTTTATGCATGCAGATGATACCCAGGCCCACATCGCTAAGCATATCCTGAAGACCGTGTGCACTGATGTCAGTAACATCCTGGTTAACTTCCTGGCTGCTGACCTGATGATGTCCGTGGAGAATCCCAGCACCATCACCAACGAGGTCTGTGTCTGTCGCTCCTCTCGGCAACCTGAAACTCAAACTGTGTTACGATTATCTGTGGAGCTGAATTCAACAGTTGACACTGAATATGCGGTACTGTATTTGGTACTGCAGGTCAGACTGAAGATTTTAGGCAAACTGTCAGAGGAGACCAAAGGGCCTCTTTTGAAGCTGCACAACTCCCTGAACGGCAAAGTAAGTAGTATGCCTGTCTAAAATAGTGTTGCACTGTGGGTGACTGCAAAATGACAGCTAATACCTTGAAATTTAAAAATCGCTAATCTGGGGAAAGGTTGAGGGATAACATTTTAAGTAAGGTGGATTTGCTTTCTGTGTTTACAGTCCATTGAAGACTTTGTGACTAACTTGGATACCTGTGCTGAGGTTTGTGGATTCATGCTAAAGAAAGGAGACAAGAAAAAAGAGAGGTAGTGGAAGCACATTCGAGCCACAAAACTCTTCACCCTGATCCACTTATGGAGTCTAGAAGTGTGTGAATGCGTGTCTTGCAGACAAGCCCTGTTCCTGCACCGCCAGGCCCTGACTGAGCAGCTGAAGGACACCGAGGATCCCGCTCTGGTCCTCCACCTGACCAGCGTGCTGCTGTTTCAGGCCAGCACGCACTGTATGCTGCACGCCCCGGGCCGCTGTGTGCCTCAGATCATCAGCACACTCACGGGGAGAATATCTGCAGTATGTACAGCTGATTGAACGTGATTTGAATGGGAAGGAAAAGTGTTGCATCACAATCCATCAATTTTAAAAAATGATAAACTGGATCATCAGATATACCAGTCTGCTCACTCCTTCATCACGTCTGTGTAGGGTAGAGGTCGGCAACCTGCGGCTCTTTAGTCCTTATAGTGCGGCTCCGTGCGGTTTGGGAAAATAAATTAGAAGTCTTTAGCTGAAGTGTATTTTATTTATGTTAGTTCTTTTTTAACTTGTAGTTCTAAATTGGAAGATTATTGTAATATTGAAATATAAAAATAAAATTATAGTCTATTTTTTTCATTGATCAAAATAAGCTTCACACTCGCAGAAGTCGGTGTACCCGCCGAAACGCTGTGCATTTATCGAGACTTTCAACCCCAGGTAGGCCAGTTATGGATCTTCGGATCCACATTATGTCAGCAGCTATTCTCAACCGTGAACTATGTTAAAAACAAACACCGCTCACGCCTCACAGATGACGGCTTACAGTCCTGCGTAAAGATGAAAGTGACTTCGTACAGCAGACGCTGTGCGCAGAGGCTTAGGAGCAGAAGTCCCATTGTAAACATATCACAGCAGACCCGACGATGTTTCCATGAACATGCTTTTCAGCATCTCTTTATTGACCACTTTTCACACACGGTTGCTGTACGCATGCAGCCGGCTGTAGCTTTTCAGCTCACAGCCCGACACATACCAACAACAGCATAGATGGCACAGACGTTAAGGCGGCGAGGCGTGATTGCGGGTGCCGCTCAGGTGCGTCCGCCTCCCCTGCAGCGGCGCTGCAGACGACGCCCCGCCACACACATTAACCTGGTAAAATACATATTTAGGCAGAATTTTGTAAATATCTATTTTTCAGCAGCATAGTGCTTTTTTTTTCCAATTAATTTTTTTAAAGTCAGGTCAAGGCTTCAAAAGCCCAAAGGCGATATAAGGGTGGCGGCTCACAACAGTTTCTGTTTGCTACATGGATCATTTTAGTTCAGGTTGGTGTCTGTCCTTTTGTTATATTTCTTTAAGAGTTCAAAATGTGTTAATTACATAAATAAAATGTAATTTTCTCTGTAGCACTTTATGGATTTCATAACCAACACACCTTAGTTGTTCACACAAAGCATAAAGGTAAAAAACAATATATACAGTGTTATCTTCATTTTAGATGTCAAAAAGTATTCGCGGCTCCCAGTGTTTTCTTTTGCGTGGAAACCGGGTCCAAATGGCTCTTTGGGTGTTAAAGGTTGCTGACCCCTGGTGTAGGGGAAACACAGTCCAGTTATATTATGTTACACAGCCATCCCTCCCGGAGTTGATATGATTCTCATTGGATATAGAAACAGGTGCATAATCCATTAACACTGTAAATGTTTAGCTTTACGATGCCCGTCGTGTGATTGTGCTGTCTGAAAGCTTCATCTCAGGATCGCTTGAAGTAGTGTTGAGGCGCAGCAGCTGTCGGTGGTCTCCATCTGCTGCAAGGAGAGTGAAGCAGCTGAAATGTGTGCATTTTGTTGCAGGAGCAGCAGCAGCTGCTGTCTACCTACCAGAGCCTGGTGGTGAAGCAGCTGGTGAGCCAGAGCAAGAAGCAGGAGGATGACGAGGAGCAGGACGAGGAGGCGAGGAGCGCACGTGCTCAGGTCCAGACCCTTACACCTCAGGTGAAGGACCTGGTGCTGTCTCAGAGGAAGACGTCTGTTAATGAGGACTGACTGAACAGTTGAATAAAGAGGAAGGAATGTCACAGGGTTAAAGACCTGTGCTGCTTCTAGATCAGCTGGTGGTCCTGTATTTTTCTATGATTTCTCTATGTGGGCATCATTTTAAATTATTAAAGGAAATCACTGTGTATGATGAATATAACACAATTGTCCTCAGTGAGGTTCTGATTAACTTGCGTATTAAATGCTCTCCTCCTCCTCAAGTGAGTTGCTTCTTCTGTGACCAGCACAAATGCAGAACATTCGGCTTCACACTTTATTACTGACCTTTTTTAACATCAGATAATACAGTGGTGTAAATGAACTAAATGCTTGTACTCGTGTACTGCAAATTCCTGGTTCTCATTCTTCATGCTTCATAAATGTAACATAACTGAGCTTTGAACTGCTTAAATTACATGTGGGCATAACTGGCCAATGAAGACAGTACCACGTCTGCATGATGAGTCTGAGAGTGATGCATTAGGTGTGTTTGTCTCCGTCTTGTGACCATTATGTGAACTTACACTAAAGTGCATGATACTGCGTTTCAACACTTGGGGGCACCAACAGCAAACAGTCGTTTGAGTGATATTGATGCAGTTATAAAAGAAAGGAAGAGCACTGCAGGAACCAAACTGAGTACACTACACACACGGATGTCACAGTCTCCATCCCAGTGGTTTCAAGCTTAACCCCAGGATTTTAAATCTGCTTGCTGGCATTTGCTTCTTATATTCTACTTCATCTCAGAGCTGTTAAGGTCAGAGCTCTCTGCAGGCCAAACACATAAAGCAGTTTCCTGGAGCTCCCTTTGTACTTGAGGTTGAACAAATCTGCTCTTCTTTTTTTTTCAGTGTAAAAAAATCAGCATATACATGTTTTTTTTTTCCCTTCATCCCACCTTGAGGTGACAGGTGGTTTGATTTGGCACCACTGAAATAAAACTGAAGTGAAATTTATTAGAACCTTTACTAATCCAGGCCATAAAAAAGCTGAACATATGTGTTCACACCACTCCACATCCTTCACCCAATTATCAAAAGAGCTTTCCTTAAATGTTAAGGCTATGTTGACTATAAGACTATAAGGAGTTATAGTCTCTTTTTGGTCACTATACAACAGAGCATGCTTCATAAATCTGCTTCTAAATCAGAGTCTGTACTGGATAGCATTGTATTACGCCAGGGCTGACTTCTGTCACTAATTTGTGAATTTTTATATCATTATTAGTGTAGCCAGGCAAGAGGTTTCTGATTCAGTGATCTTGTGATCATGCATGCATCTAGGGGTGACTTTTGAGTCACACTGCAGCAGTTTGCACCCAGTTGCAAAGCAGAAGGGATAAAAAAATAGTGCCTCCAAGTCTAAGATTAAGGTGAGCTCTCCGCTCTCTTCTCTTTCCCCTCACCACCAACTAGTTGTGGTGAACAGCTACACCTCCCTAAGCCTGATTCTGCCTGATTTTCAATCCAGCCAGAGATCCAAATCCCCTTCTGGATTACATCAAGAAAGGCATCTAGTGTCTGCCTGTTGTATATGATGAGCATTTCTTTTTCTTTCAATCTAGTTTATGTAAAAAACGTTCCTCTCTATTTAAAGACAATATGGAGGTTGGGATGATGCTTATCCTCATAAAGGTGGAGCTGTTGACTTTCTCATGTTTGCAACACCACAGAAAAAGTGGAAGCCTGGCATGTGGCTGCACCATCTGTAGTTTGTGGAGGCAGACACACCGTTTTGCCAGAAGAAGAGTTTGCTGAGCAGGACATGGATGTGTGAGCTCATCATACACACAAGCACATGCTCCACATTGCCATGGAAACACATCTTCTGAGAAAGGAGGCCTCTGGGCTTGGCAAGGGAGAGATGTCAAGTGAGGAATTTTATTCTAAAATAAGAGAATCCCACGCTATCCAACCCCTTTCTAAGATGGCTTAATAGGTGGATGGATTGTGTATTCATGCTTAATTAGCCAATTAAATAGAAAAATAATCAGGTGTTTATGTTTCATTGGAGGGAAAGACATCTTTTCCATTTCATGCTTTCCTTACTATACTTTTAATGTAAACAAATGTTACTAAATGACCAAATAGACAATGAATGGATCCCATTAACAATTAGTGGCTGCATATAGCTGTTAAAATTCAGTCACCACAGATACTAAGAAAAGGTGAGCTTTAATGAAGACTGATATGAGCCAAACAATTCAATTCAATATATAGCACAAAATCAAAGCAACATTTTATATTGGAAGGTAAAGACAAAATAATAATAGAGAGAAACCCCCAACCATCAGGCGAACACCTATGAGCAAAGAGTCAGTGACAATGGGAGGGAAAAACTCCCTTTAACAGTTAGAAACAAGTTAGTTAGTTAGAAACAAGACAAAATACAAACTGTGGAAGAGAGCCAGAGATTAATAGTAAGAGTTGTGTATAAACTCATTGGAAGTGAAAAGAGGTTAATTCAATAAAAAAAAATTTTTTTAGTTTTATCTATATAGCACCAAATCACATTAACAACTGCCTCAAGGCGCTTCATAGCGAAGCCAAGTCAAGCCACTCCTGCAATCCTAGTTGGATAATTGGTTGAGAATGTGAATGAATGAGTTGCTCACACTTCATACTTGGCATTATATTTAGCATATCTCCTGCCACATTCCTTACATATGAGCTGTATGACACTTTGGTGCTATATAAATAAAATTACATTGAACTGAAAAAGAACTGAATTAAAAAATGTGCTCCTCTCTGGAGCCTTGCCCCAGTAACCCCAATCTTGGCAAGATGGCATCAGTAGTTCTATGATATGGGTCTTCCCAGTTGCAGTTAATCTGGCCCATCAACTAGGACAACCTTGCTTTGGGAGATCCTGTCATGGGCAAAAACCTAAACAACAAAACTTCTCCACAATAAGACAGTGATTCATGGAGGTGATTCGTGTAAATGCAAAATTCAATATTTTTTAAAATAACATAATGCATCAATTTTAATCACATTTGGCCCCAGTGGGACTGCCTCAAATGACAGCAGTTAGTCCCACACAGTTTCATAGGGTAAATTGCTCGTAGTGTCCATGTAATCCATGTTTATCTTGTCAATAAAATCAATGTTGTTGTTTACATAAAGCCCTAAAAGCCTCTCTCAAATACACCTTTGTACATCGTGTGCTGATGATTATAACACTAGGCAGCTCTGACAGTGCATAGCAACAACTGTTTGCTAAAGCAATGCACAAGCAAATATCTAACCGACCAATCTCAGTGAACATATTGATTCATGAGCTGACAGATCACTGCTTAAGCAGTTCAGGCTTTTATTTTTATAAACTTTCAGCTCTGCCTTTGCAGAATGATTTGGATGCTGCATGACTGTCACCAAGGGCAACAAGAGAAGGACTTGAGCCTTCCAACGCTGAATTTTTAATTTAAGGTGTCAGTGTTTCAAAGAGGATATAGCATGCAAAGGATTCCCAGAAGATAATCTCAGGGCGTTTTCCCAATAGGATTCATAGGACACTAGTGGGTGTGAGCAACAGCCATTAGCAGCTTTACCTTATGTTAAAGTATTTACATTGGCTGTGAGAAAGGAGCTTGGGTCACTTTCAAATTCACTTTCCAATTCAATCAATAGCCTTTATGTAAACACACAAAATGAAGAAATGCAACATTTCAACTATTAATAAACTTGTGATTGTTAAAAAAAAAAAATCATAGACTGTATATAAAAAATTGAACATCAGTCATTCCAGCTGTTTTTGGACCACATTTTAATGCCTCATTATATGCACTTTGACCCCTGAAAAGATAATATCATAAGAGTTAACGCCTGCAAATTTGATTAGCAGGTTGCTGACACAGTTTTAGAAAAAAAGAAAAAGAAACAAAAGAAAGAATGAAATGTGTAAAAATAATAATAATAACTATTAATATACAACAACCTAGTAGCTGTGCCACCAGATAAATGCTGTAAAATAATAGAATACATCACATAAAAATACAGAATTTCTCCATAATTAAAATATAGTTTTGTAACTTTAATTCACCTGAGATTTCATACATTTTTACAGATTCTTTATGCTAAATGAAAAGTTAGGTAGCATAAGTACATGTGTAAAAACAACTTGATGTGATTTTTCTAATATTTAATATGATTAAATACCAGCCATTTAAGAAAGTCAAAATCTTGTTGTACAACTAGTAACAGACTTTATAATTACAACAAAATCCTAATTTTTGATTATAGTAATTGTAACATGGGTTTTACCATGTAATTTAAAAAAAAATCTTGTATTGTACTGTTGAAGTGCACCATGGCATATAAACATATGTCAAGAAAACATAACATAACAGTTTCAGAATGTTCTTGCATCCGCATTGCTTATCTTATAAATTGTCCATTTTCCTTCCCTAAATTTTTCTTATGGAGCTAGCTGCTTGATAAAAGTCTTTGGTGTTGAAAATTCCACACTGCTCCCTTAATAGTATCTAGACTCCACAATGGCCTCTCCATCTACAGTCTGTTTTCTTCCTACATCCTTGCAGATTTGAAAGCTAGCCTAGCTGTGGTTGATGTTGCACTGCAAACACAGCAGATGTTTACTGATATCTACGGAATTACTGATAATTTTCATTTTTTTAATTGCAACAGTTTTTAAATATGCATTTGCTATGTAAAACTCGAATTTAATAGCATTGCATATTTGTCAAATTATATTCAAGTTGTGTCAATTTGAGCCATTTTCTCTAGAAAAAAACATTACAATTTTATCATTATTCGCAGCTTGTTTTCCTGATATATATGCATATCATGTATAGATACCATAGAGATGCTTTTTAATGCTGTTTCAATGAACCTGCGAGTCCCTGAGGACTTAATATGCCTCATGTGTATTTTAGAGGAACTGCAGCTTTATTCTTTACAGTCACAGTTCTTGAGGTTGCCAGATGGAAATAAGCAGAAGACTGCACTCTGGCATTCCCCTTTGTTTGGAAATAGGATTTTATTTAATGATTAACAAACAATTTATTCAATTTTATTTATAAAGTGCCAAATCACAATGACAGTTGCCTCAATGCAAAAAAACACACAACTTAACTGGAGTCTGTTTAGTTTGTCAACAGAGTGACACTCAGCTGAAATAATGCCAGAGCAGTACACACAGAAGGATATTCACAAGTGGCCCCTTGACTTCTCATCTGCTTAGGTGAACATCCCCGTCTACATCCATCCGCTGTC